CAGTTCTCTTTCCATGTATTGTTGAAGTCTGGATTATAAAATATTGAGCATTATTTGAACATTCATTAATACTGCCCTTCCAATAGAAGAGAATATGTGTAGCTCAGGGTTGAACTGTGGAGTCCTTGGTGCTCTCTGAGCATGGCTGTTTGCTTGCAGACATTTCATTACCCAACTAGGTAACATCTTCAGTGCTAGAAGGGAGTGGGGTTTGCTCCCTGTTTGTATTCAGTAGCTTGCTCTGCTAGTGTTGGTGGGGGTGTGGTTTTCTCCTTGGTCATTCCTTGATCAGGGTATTGGAGATAAGCAGGGATGGAGATAAGCAAGGATCAATTCCAGACAAGCAATCAAGCAGAAAATGATATCATTGTCCCCATTCCCTTTTTGTTACTTCCAACAATAAACTCAAAAATACCATCCAAAAATACCATTCCATTTTATAGAAATTATCTGAAAAGAAAACAAACAAAAGAGAAGCCAATATTTTTAGCCACAGAAAATGTTGACAAGTTTCAAAAAAAGTTCTGAATCATCTTTAATGTGGATGGAAATCATTATTCCCAAGCTAATCAAGTGTTTTTTGGCAGAGTTCATCCATTTCAGTTCAATACTTTAAAAAAAAAAAAAAAGCAGATGTATAGTATGAAAGGTATACTCATTTCATGGACATAATCCTTCTTCAAGCAAAATAATGTGTGTAATGAAGCTTTTTAGAATATGGTCAATTTATCCGGGATCAGAGCATTCACTTACTTATTAAATTGATGTGCCCCAGAATAAATTGCAACTCTATTAAGTGAATCTTATAAGTATTAAGGATTCCAGTTTGGAACAGATTTGATTTGTATTACATTTTCATTTTACTTTTTTTCATAGTGTCCATTTATTATAACATAGTCACATTAGTCTTCTGTATAATTAATTTTCTAGTTCATTTATGAGCTAAAATTAGTTTTTTTCTAAAAAAAAATTCTTTGTACTACTATAGATTTTACATGAAAAGGGAGCTGAAAGTACCTAATTATAGAGGTAGAATCTATACCTCTAAATCTCTCCCACAAGTTATGATGAAAGGGGTATTACATGACATGTTCCTCAGAGTTATACCGACTGGAGATATAGCAGGATAGTGAAGTCCTGGACACTTAGAATCCACAAAGGAGCAGTTCTTGGCTTTTCCCAGAGCTGAAGTGTTCATCCTTGAGCCACACAACACTAAACAGTGAAGACCATTTCCCATCTCTACAAAAGCATCGCTATTTTAGGTGTCTCCATGTTGTGAAATCTGGCTCCTGTGGATCAGGAGAAGTATCTGAATGGAATATTACCTGCTGAACATGAGTGGACCAATCCATTAATTTCTATGTCAGCTTCATATTCCATTTAATCCCATTCTCATCTTTCTGTGTTTTACATTCTGTTCAACAGTGTGTGTTTAAACCCATATGTAAGCATTTGATACATAAGTTTACTCAAGATATGCATTTATGAATGTCTTTATTCATTTTAAATCTCTGTGTGTGTTTGTGTGTTACTGTGTAATCTCTAGATTCTTCATTGCAAGATTTGGGGGAAAATATTCACAGATAGGTGAAATTTTGTTAGGAGTTATTTTCTGATCTGTGTATTACCCTGAGAGGTGCAAATGAGACAACTTCATAATGGAATTTACAAAGTTTAAATCACCGGAGCATCTCTATTCATCAGTGGATTCACCTGCTTCAGTAATAATATCTTTTTTTTTTTTTTTGCTCTCTATCACTAGAATGTCTAAGTAAGAGAAAATATTCTTGGAGTTTAAGGTACCAACCCAACAGAATTATAACTTTGATTTGCATTTACATCCTTTTCTCTAGGAACTCAGGGCCACATCTATAATTCTCCACTCCCTATTTAAGCCTCACAATAAACTTGTGAGGTAAGTTGAGCTGAGAGACATAAGGTGACCTAACATCACCCAGAACTGCATATAGTTTGAAGATAGAGGGCTTGAACCTGGATCTTCCAAGCTTACTCCATCTTCTAACAAGCCAATGTTAGCCACTACACCGGAAGTCCTCAATGTGGAAGCAAAGAAACTGAGACCAAACCACAGTCTTGCCAGATCAAAGTGGAGATGCCTTCTACATTCAAGGCCAAGAAATGAACAGCAAGAAGTCTGTTATCACATAAAGAGGGAAAGAGATGTAAATTGAAACCTGAGATTGTTTGCAGACGACTTAATTGCTGAATTCTGCAGGAACCAATCTTCTATGGCAGTGTTTATCAAGAAACACCATTCTGTGGTATTCGTGTCTATTGTATCTGCAAACAAGCAATATGACAATGCAGGCCTTATCCGTACCTCTTCACCTGCTAGCTCCTGAGTGTTGGTTGAGTTTCTAGAGAGAGATTTATAGTTGTTTATTGCCGTTTGTCTTCTGCTAAATTGTTATAGCCTCCATGACAGTCATTTTGTGAGAGTTCCTGTAGCATGTTCTCAAAGTTTCAAATGTGTCTATTGTCTGCCCCACCACCCCACCCCGCAAGAAATATTGGAGCCTCCTTCCAGACCACAGAGGGGTTTGGGAATGAGCTGAGGCTGAGGCTGAGAGCTTGCCGGAACATGAAGAAGGATTCCAGAATGGAGGCTATAAAGACACGAGAAGGGTTGTCAGGGGGGGTCAGCAAATGTAATGCTGGTTTAATTTTGTGCAGCTCAGGGATGGATGGATAGCACTTCAGCCAATGGGAAAGCAGATTTCAAATCCTTCTTTGCCTAAAAATCAGCTGCAAAGAGAAAATCAGCTAAATCAACATCCAGAAGTAAAACTTCTACTACAGTATTTTTCAGACTTGGCAACTTTAAAATGCATGGACTTCAATTCCCAAGCCAACACTGCCATAGAAGTCCACACATCTTAGTTGCCAAGTTTGAAAAAAACACTGGTCTATCCTCTGGAGCTAGATTTTAATCCTACAGTCCATTTTATGTCTGAGGATTTGTTAAAAACACAGACACCCCTCTCCCTGAAATG